TTCTTCTTCTTCTTCTTCTTCTTCTTCTTCTTCTTCTTCTTCTTCTTCTTCTTCTTCTTCTTCTTCTTCTTCTTCTTCTTCTTCTTCTTCTCCATTATGATGCTTTTATTTGACTCTGCATAGCTCAAACCAGCTATGTTTGCAAGTGGGCAGATTATGAAAGTGAAATGAGAGTGATTGTCTTCTGCTGTTGTGTCTCTCTCCGACCAGTTTTATTCTGGTTGATTTTCAGTATTCTATCTCAGTGGTTCATTAATCAATTCATTATTTTTGTGTTTAAAGTTGCAGAACCTAAACCAGCAACGATTCCTGAACCAAAGCCTGCTGTAGGTAAGAGTCGTTCACTGATTTTTCTTTAGTAATCAAAGCGTTACTATAATATGTATACGTGTACTGAGGATTGAAATTTTCATTTCATTTTTGGCATTTTCTTTTTCAAAATGCTGCTTAATTCTTTCCACAGCTCTAAAATCTCCTAAGCCAGTTGCAGAACCAGCACCTGAAGTTGCTCCTGTGACAACTCCAGTGGTTGGGAAGAAAGCTGGTATGAATTCTGGCTGTCTAATGCATTCATTCATTTGCATTACTGCTCTACCCAAAGTTACTTGCATGCGTAATAACACAAATTATTGTGCATATGCTTTATTTATTTTATTTATTTATTTAAAAGATTTGTATGGCCAGCCATCTCTGGGTGGCTCACAACAGCAATAATACCCGGTAACTATAAACTATATGTTGTGGAGTTAGGACAAAACAAGTGTACTTGTGAATAGTGAGCTGCTAGGCTATGTTCTCCTCTAGAAGGAGGAAGGTGAAAGTAATTATACAGGGAAATCTAGGAGATAAGTGGGGCCTCCTTTGCGACCTTACTTCTCAAGAACTTTATTGCAGGTGTATCTTCTGAAGTGGCAGTAGATATTGTGGCAGGACACAAAGAATAGTTAGACAATTGAGATCCCAGGCCCATATTCATGTACGTAGTTCAATAGTGTTTGAATAGTCAGGCATATAGATCTCTCTCTCTCTCTCTCCCTCTCTCTCTCTCCCTCTCCCTCTCTCTTTTTCTCTCTCTCTCCTCTATCTATTTTCATTCATTCCCAGGGAAAGTGCACTTGGGCCCAAATTAATGTCAAGTAGCATTCATTTTTATTTTTCTCCGTTCATGCATAATTGAATAGCATCACCTGATCAGCTTTTCTTTTTTTTTTTTACAAGTAAACAATAAACAACACAACCCTTTGCATGCCTGCTTTTGATACTCCCTGGGACTTAGAGCCAGGAAAGTACGCATGGTGTTCCAGCCCAGATATAATTTGGCTGAAACAGAAACCACCTCCTCCTAAGCTGCATTAAAGAATTACAATAGATGGGCAAAAAGAACTGTGAAATGAAAATTTAGTCTGGAAATGGCAAACAGTAACTATTATGTTTTTCCCTGGATTAAAGCCAAGGTACCCAAAACTATTTTCTCAGGATTTATGAGAAACATCCAAATAGTTTATTTCAAACAAATAATAAAAATAACCAGTTTGTAAAGGCATGCACAGAGTAACCACTACTTGATTTAAAAAATCCTAGATATATTTTAAATATTACTTCATTTCTAATCCTACTTTTGGTATTTTATGCCAGAGCCCAAAATTACACCAAAGGAGGAAGCTGCCAAGGGTAGAAGTCCTATTAAAGGTAAGAAAGGGATATCATAAAATTCAAAACTTGTTCTTGCATGTTTAAACATAAGTCTTGAGTCTAGTTACAAGTATCCCATGTGTTGAACACAATTTAAATGGCCCTTTTCTCACTTATTAATTTAACAAAAAATTAACTGCAAATGTTTCTTTTCTCACTTATTGATTTAACAAACAAAATGTTTTCTTCTGTGTCTAGATACGTTATTTCTACCTGCACTCCTGCTGACTTTTATCACACCTGACAACTTAGTACCTAGCTTCAGCTGTATATATGCATGAGAACAGAATTCATGTCAATAGACTATAAGTTCTATACCTTTTCTTCTCTGACTTGCAGCCAAAAAGACACCTTCACCCCTTGATGCAGAAAGGAGGAAATTAAGGCCAGGAAGTGGCGGAGACAAGCCACCTGAAGAGCCTCCCTTCACATACCAACTGAAGGCTGTTCCACTCAAGTTTGTGACAAAGATTAAAGATATTGTGCTGACAGAAGCAGAGTTCATTGGCTCTTCTGCCACCTTTGAATGCCTCATCTCTCCATCCACTGCTGTCACCTCTTGGATGAAGGATGGCAGCAACATCCGGGAAAGCCCTAAGTACAGGTTCCTGTCTGATGGCAAAGACCGGAAGCTCCATATTCTTGATGTTCAGCTTGCAGATGCTGGGGAGTACACTTGTGTCCTGAAGCTGGGAAACAAAGAAACAACATCAACTGCTAAACTCGTTGTTGAAGGTACTTCCTGGTGCCATCTAGTACCCTTATTAATATACCCTTAATAATACCCTTTTCATTTGTTGAATGCTCAAGACAGCCAACAATATCAAATAAAATACAGAAATGGAAATATAATGAGAATGAAAACCACCAATATTATTATCATTAACATTTAAAACCAAGTTTAAAAGTTGTGGCTTAAATGCTCTTACAAAAGTGGTGAGGTTGGGAATCAACACAGCGCGGGAGCAAAGGTCCTGCAGACCTTAGTGTTGGGAGAGGGTCATAAATATGAAGCATTCTATTGAACCCCTAAAGCAGCATGTTGTTTCTATTTCTATTCCTGTCAAACAATAATTAATAATTCAAATAACAGGAGAGACATCATAGGAAACAGGAGAATATGAGTATGTCAGCTCTGTATGCTCAGGTTAACTTAACTGTGCATGTATGGCCCAACCCAGCTATTCATTTTAGGTGTTCTGATGGGGGTACATATTTGTCCTTGAATAGTATACTGTACCTTTATACATGTAAATCAGATATCTCCATTGAAACTAATAGGATCTCTGCAGGTGCATACTCAAAACCATATGAGAACATAAGGAGTTCTGAATACAAATGCATCTGATTAAATGCCTATGTTATACATTATGCAAATAAGAATTTATGCAAATAACAACCTGCTTTTTCCCCTTCATCAGAACTGCCAGTGCGCTTTGTGACGCCCTTGGAGGAGGAAGTTACTGTCATCAAAGGGCAACCCTTTTATTTAAGTTGTGAGCTAAACAAAGAGAGAGATGTTGTATGGAGAAAAGATGGGAAAATTATCCTGGACATACCTGGGAAACTTGCTGTGGGCATTATTGGCTTACAGAGGGCCATTACAATCATGGATGCTACTGACAATGATGGTGGAGAGTACACTGTAACTGTTGCAAATACTGAACTCAGTTGTAAAACAACTGTTAAAGTTGTTGGTAAGTTAAAGTTTATTTTAAGAATAAACACTTGATATTTTTTTGAAAAAGAAATATTGAGTTAGTAGGAGGAGATAAAGAAGTGTAGCTTGTTTTTCTAATCAGTGATATCAGGCCTGACACTCTTTTCCCTCTTAAGCGTGAAAACGTGTAGTGGGGTCAAACACTAGAACTAGAAGTAAGCACAAGTAGGCCTTCAAGGACACAGATCTCTGATAAATAGTTTTGTCAAAAACAAATGAATCTGATACTAAATAATTACCTTGCACAATGCCCAGTTAGATGATAAAAGAAAAAACTGAAAAACCTAGACAACTAGATATATGAAAAGAAGAGATTAACAATGCCATAATTTGCATTTCTAATGAGAAGCAGCTCCATTAAGTTCAAATGGGACTGCAACCTAATTTTTGAAATCCTTGAATAAGTCCTCTTGAACGCAGTGGCTCTCCCTCTCCCTTCTGGTATATGTATGACTACATTGTATAGCAAGAAGCCCAAATGAAGGAGGAAGCAGGAAGTGTGAGGTGAAACAAGAGAGAAAAATCTTTTGAAATACTTAAGAAAATATGAAAAGCAGAAGACAAGTGACTATCATTAATCTTTATGTTCAGTGAACAGTAACTAAGAGATAAAATTGAAATAAAATTGAAATAGTTTTTAAAATACGAATAAATACTAAGAGAGAAACACTTTTATTATGTGTACTGTTGTGCAGAAATGATAAAGGACTGGCTAGTGAAGCCCATCCGAGACCAACATGTGAAACCAAAAGGCACTGCAACATTTTCTTGTGACATTGTTAAAGATACCCCAAATATTAAATGGTACAAAGGTGATGAAGAAATTCCTCTTGAACCTAATGACAAAACTGAAATTATAAAAGACGGGCATCATATCTACCTCAAAATTAAGAATGCCACACCAGATGACGTTGGAGAATATACAGTTGAAGTTGAAGGTCGCAGATATACAGCAAAACTGACACTAGGAGGTAAGCGTATTGCTATATTAGTACAACATGTTTGCTAGTGGTTCCATCCTACACAGTAAGAATAAAGATTGAATCTCTCAAGACTATGGAAAGGTTTTACTAATTGCATTATGTGTTACAGAACGTGAAGTTGAACTGCTTAAACCCCTTGAAGATGTTACTGTTTATGAGAAAGAAACAGCAAATTTTGATACAGAGATTTCTGAAGAAGACATCCCTGGGGAATGGAAGCTGAAAGGAGAAATCCTCCGACCCTCTCCTGTAAGGATCTGTACTTAAAAATTCATTAATTTATTACAATTATGTGGTTGATGGTCAGTAGTTGTTCTGCTGCGTAGTGTGATACAGCAAGAAGTATATTTACTAAGGTTAACAATTAATAGTAGCTCAAGAGACGGAAAGGTAGACCTATCAGTAGAAAATAATAATAAATAAATACACCTTATTCCAAGGCCACATAATTCTGTAATGGGCTTTGTTATCACAAGGATATTATAAGAGTGTTTTTTTAAAAAATCAGTATCCCTTGTCCATAAATATTTAAATTCTTTCAGACTTGTGAGATCAAAGCTGAAGGAGGAAAACGCTTCTTAACGTTACATAAAGTCAAATTAGACCAGGCTGGGGAAGTTCTCTACCAGGCTTTGAATGCAATTACTACAGCCATCCTAACAGTAAAAGGTATTATTTTTATTAAAACACTTCTTGTGTTAATTCCAGCATTGGTCAGATTGTATATTGAAGATTTTTTTTTTATTCTCAGAGATTGAGCTGGACTTCATTGTGCCTTTGAAAGATGTGACCGTGCCGGAGAAACGGCAGGCAAGGTTTGAGTGTGTGCTCAGCAGAGAAGCCAATGTCATGTGGTCCAAAGGCACTGACATCATCAAAATTGGGGACAAATTTGACATAATTGTAGATGGAACAAAGCATATTCTAGTTATCAATGATTCTCAGTTTGAGGATGAAGGGGAGTACACAGCTGAAGTTGAAGGGAAGAAGACTACAGCAAGACTGTTTGTAGAAGGCAAGTGTATTACTTTGAAGAATTAAGGAGTAAACCCTGAGAGAAGGATCAGTCATTTAAAGCTACTGCTGGATGTAACCATGTAACATTTACCTTCATTACCATTTGCTCCTTTTCAGGTATTAGGCTGAAATTCATCACTCCCCTCAAAGATCAGACAGTGAAGGAAGGAGAGACCGCTTACTTTGATTTTGAACTTTCTCATGAAGATATGCCAGTAACCTGGTACAAAAATGATAAAAAACTTCATAATAGTAGGTCAGTTCATATTTCTGCAGAAGGGAAGAAACACAAACTGGAAATAAGTGAAGTGACGCTGGACGATATCTCTGAAATCAAAGCCGTAGTTAAGAACTTGCATACTGAGGCACACCTAAAGGTCTTAGGTAATATTAGATGTTGTCATGTACAGTCTCTGTGTGTTTTAATCTCTATGTATTTGATTGTTTATAGTTTTATGTATTCATTGTAATGACTAACTTCTTCAGAAAAATGACTACTTAATACCCAACCCATATCTTATAGAGGCTGATCCATATTTCACGGTGAAATTGCAAGACTATACTGCTATTGAAAAAGATGATGTCGTTTTGGAGTGTGAACTTAGCAAAGATGTGCCAGTGAAGTGGTATAAAGATGGTGAGGAACTGGTAGCTTCCAAGAGAATCTCCATAAGGACTGACGGCAAGCGCCGCATATTGAAAATTAAGAAAGTGTCAGATGCTGATAAAGGACATTATGAATGTAATTGTGGGACTGACAAGACAAATTGTGAACTTAAGGTTGAGGGTAAGTTTTTGTCCTCCTATATGTAGGTCCTCTTCTGAACCTTTTACATTTACTGATCAAAACAGGGAATTTAAGATATATGCATATATACATATAAATATATATATCTATATATCTTTCAGCTCGAATGATAAATGTAGAGCGTCCCTTATATGGTGTGGAGGTATTTGTTGGTGAAACAGCACGATTTGAGATTGAAATCTCTGAGCCTGATGTTCCTGCAGTTTGGAAGTTAAAGGGAGAAACTTTAACAGCTTCACCTGTAAGTCTCTTTCAACAGCAGCAAGAACAAGCAATAATATAATCATTTTTATATAAAAAGAATTCTTTTTAAAATTATAGAGAATTAGTGATTAGGACAACATTTCTTCTTTTCCCTAATAACAATCAGGATTGTGAAATGATTGAAGATGGCAAGAAACACAGCCTCGTTCTTTACAACTGCAAGTTGGATATGACAGGAGAAGTGTCTTTTGAGGCTGCCAATGCTAAAAGTGCTGCAAATCTGAAAGTGAAAGGTAGGCTCCACAAGGCATCAACTTTAAGCCCATCTTGCAAAGCTTTCTTATCACTCTTCATTAATATTATCATTTATTAAATGAATAATAAAAATCCGTAGCCTGCATAATTGCTTAAAAAATATTTCTAACACTCTTCATTACCTGATTTAATTTCAGAGCGGCCTCTCCTCATTATAACTCCTCTCAGCGATGTCAAAGTCTTTGAGAAGGATGAAGCTAAATTTGAATGTGAGGTCTCTAGGGAACCAAAGACTTTCCGATGGTTGAAAGGAACCCAAGAAATCGCAGGAGATGAGAAGTTTGAAATCATATCAGAAGGCACAAGGCATGCTCTTGTCATTAAGAGTGTGGCTTTTGAAGATGAAGCAAAATATATGTTTGAGGCTGAAGACAAACGAACAAGTGCTAAACTGATCATTGAAGGTTTGTTTCTCACAGTGATTCTGCGGTTCTATTTGGTTTTTATATTTACATAGTTTGATTCGTTGGGATCTGATTTTAATGAGGTACTTTTATGGTTTAGGCATTCGTCTTAAATTCATTACCCCACTCAAAGATGTAACAGCAAAGGAGCGTGAGTCTGCAAAATTCACTGTTGAGCTTTCCCATGGCAACATTCCTGTCATCTGGTATAAAAATGACCAACGACTCCATACATCCAAGGTTATTTCGATGAAAGATGATGGCAAATTTCATACACTCATATTTAAAGATCTCACTATTGATGACACATCTCAGATCAGAGTGGAAGCTATGGACAAATCAAGTGAAGCTAAACTTACTGTTCTTGGTACGTGTGACCTGACTTTGGTTTACCGAATGGATCTTTTTAGAGATAATTTCTTCCAGATATATAAGTATAGCCCTAGGCAGACTGCCAATTTGCATGAAGCACCTCCCATTTGAGGCAGCACTTGAGATCTTCTCAAGAGGTCTTGCTCCAGCCTTTGGAGAGGTTACATTTGGTTGGGGAGCGTTCTTTCAAGAGTGATGTCTGTCTTTCTCTCTCTCTTGTCTTTTTGTCATCAGAGTGTTTCCTCTTTCAGAAAGTTTTTATAGATTTAATAGCCCTAATTGTTGCACTCCGGTATTTTGCCTCTGATGTTTTGCTTATTTCTATATTTTATTTTTGTTTTGTTATTTTGTTGTGTAGTTGTACTCTAATTTGTAACTGCTATCTGTCTCTAATTTGTAAACATTTTATATGACAACTTCATTAGCTAATTAGACCTACAGGACATAGTCTGTTTAGTTGTTCGTTGTCTTTATTGCCATGTCTTTGTAAGAAGTATATAAGTGATTTATAAACTCCATAGACAACCCTTCTTTTGAGTTCTATATACACCAAATCTCAGATACCTTTCCTATTAAAATTCTCAAGAGTGTCTCACTCATTGTGGAGCATATTGACCAAGATGAATCAAGAGACTGGTTTGGACGAGATAGCTTCCTATATTCCTACCTGTTGAGGCCATTTTCTTACAGTCCCCTTTTTATTACTGTCTTTTAAGCATAAGAATAAGAAAATAAGCTTTAGGCATGAAGCTAGGAAACTAATTTTTACTGAGCAAAATAGCTTTTATGTTTCTGCTTAATTCTGTTTTTTTTTAAATTTGTTCTGCTATTTTATTTGTTAGAGACTCCATTTATTTCAGCATTTCGTCTTTTTATGAATGTTTGGATATTGTGCCATCACAGTTTGTTTCAGTTTGTTATTAAACCACCTTTAAATCTTATAAATAGAAAGGGTATAGATTTTTAAAATAGAAATAGCTTGTGGAACACCTTGATAAATATTTCTACGTTTTATTTTCTAAAAAACAAAATCAGCCATTTTTTCCAGAATAACTGGGAATGTGTTGTCAGTGAGCTGTTAATTTTAGTTTTGGAAAGTTTCCTCAATATGTTGGAAAGCCAAAACAAAAACATACCTCCACTAAAAAGCAAGGAAAACATTTAAAGTCCTATTGGTAAGCCTCTAACAGCTTTTGAACTTATTAATAATACTTACAATGTGACATATTTACTTCAACTTGCAGAGGGAGATCCTTATTTTACTGGGAAGCTTCAAGATTACACTGCTGTGGAAAAAGATGAGGTTGTTTTACAGTGTGAAATTAGCAAAGCAAGTGCTCCAGTAAAATGGTTTAAAGATGGACAAGAAATAACTCCATCTAAGAACGTGATTATCAAAGCTGATGGCAAAAAGAGAATGCTTATCCTCAAGAAGGCACTGAAAAAAGATATTGGTCAGTACACCTGTGACTGCGGTACTGACCAGACATCTGCCAAGCTCAACATTGAAGGCAAGTTCTTCTCAGTAATGTATTATTATAATCTTTTATACGGCGCCTTGAAGATCCTGCAGTTGAAAAATAGGACATAGAACTTCTAAATCCATCACTCAATCAGCAATTGTCTTTTCAATCCTTCTGCTGCAGAACACAGCCATCTTATCATGATGACTGACAGTATTGGGCTTTTTTTTTTCTTTCAGACCGTGATATATCTATTGTGCGTCCCCTATATAGTGTGGAAATATTTGAGACGGAGACAGCTCGTTTTGAAACTGAAATCTCCGAGGAAGATATTCATGCAAACTGGAAACTGAAAGGACAATCCTTGGCTCAGTCACCTGTAAGCAATGCTTCTGTTTGTTCTGAGAGTAGACCACACTGATGGGTAATCGCATTTCTCTGTGCAATACATAATTATAGGCTAAATGTTGAGTAAAATTCAACATGTTGTGTTCAACAGTTTACAGGCAGAAAAATGGTTATCTTCTGCTTGACTTTCCCTTCATTCAGGGCAATATTCAACCCATTTTAGTAGGATTCTGGCTATCTAAAAAGTCTCTCTCTCTCTCAAGGGCAGGGGAGGGCAGGGAAAAGATTTAACATATTTCTTTCTTTTAATTAATATAAACATTTTACAGAATATAGTGGGATTGACATCTGCATACTTTTTGTCCTGCTGGAAATTGTTCCTATTGCAATGTTCACACTCCAAGGAACTAAGAAACATAGTGGCAAAACAGCTGGAACCAGGATAAGTGTGTGTGTGTGTGTGTGTGTGTGTGTGAATGAATGAAATGCTAGCGCCATTTTGAATACAAATGTTGATAAAAAGAATGCAAATGACCCCTTCATAAGAAAATACTTTGGGAACTGCCACTATTAAAACAAGTAGTTACAAATTTTGCATTTTCTTTGGAAGGAGTGTGATATTAAGGAAGAAGGGAAAAGGCACTGTGTTGTACTCTACAATGTACGCTTGGACCAAGCTGGTGGTGTAGACTTCCAAGCGGCCAACGTCAAATCAAGTGCTCATCTTCGAGTGAAACGTAAGGGCCTTACAAATCTATTTAGAAAAGGGAACATATTGGTTTTGCAGTGTCTGTTGTTAGTCCTATGGATCTGAATGGGAATCAATCAGATAAGGGTGGAGAGGAGGGGTCACCGGGAATGATTCAGATATTCTGGCATATTGATGTAGTCCAGGGTCTTATCACTATTATAACAATATTCAGTTAGCTAATTCAAACTAATACTTCCAATTCAGTTTGAGTTTTCTTTTGTGTCATATAAACTTTTAACCCAACCATTAATTGGGTTAATTAGGCCTTCCTCAATCAGTTACTATGCAATATAAATGGATACAAATGAATTATTTGCTCATAGCTATCTTCTTAAGAATTTGACTTTGGGTTTTAAGATTGGAGAAATAACCCAGCAATTTGTAGAAAGTGCTAGTAGATTGATTAACCATCTGCATAGTTGAAGACCACTTTCCTCTCTAGCCAATAGAAAGTGTTGCTATTTTGGATGGCTCACTCTTATCTAGCAAGAGGCATGTGGGGCTTGGCAGGGACACAGATGCAAAGCAACTTTCTAGCCGATCTTTTCATTGAAAAGACACCAGCTCTGTGAGTAGGGAATCGCCAGCGATCAGCCCTTCCTCTGATCTAGTTAATTTAAACAGTTCAGTTTGATTAGATTCCCTCTCTGTCTTGGGAAGAGGCTCTATGGCAGTTAATAAAGGGTGGAAGCGATCAGTTTGAAGATGATTTCTTCTTTTCTTCAAGCCCGTATCATTGGCCTGCTGAGACCACTCAAAGATGTAACTGTGACGGCTGGTGAAACGGCAACATTTGAGTGTGAACTCTCCTATGAGGGAATTGTAGTGGAATGGTTTCTGAAGGGACAGAAATTGGAACCCAGTGACAAGGTACAGTAGATGATCTTTCCTTCATCCCGTGGTCCTCACCTTTCCCACTGTTTTCCCACTTTCTAACCTCCCTCCTCTTCTTTCCTGTTCATCTTCTCACCCCACTTGGCGAGCCTCCAAACTCTAAACTGAAGCTACAGCCTGACAACACCTAGCTGAGACTAATTCCCAGTTAACAGTCGGGGCATTCTTCTGGCTAGATGTGTATCAGATTGCCTTGCAAAGGGCCATTCTAAAATATCAATTGAAAAGCGATTCTCAAAAAAGTTGATGCACAGGGAGATCACTGATGTCAGTGAATCTGGGGAAATGTTATCACCGCTGATGTCAAGGGGCAACAAATATCCTGGTGGTTATTTGTGTGGCTTTCCTTATACTTCATGTCCACGGAATCCAGACCTGGCGTTCGTTGTTGCTTACAAGGGATGAAGGAGTTTGGGAAATTCCATTTCAGGCATTTTAGCAACACTTCCAGAGATATCATTCTAGGCAGAGTTACATGCTGAGCTTTTCCCACTTTCTATTTTTAACTCTTTGTTAAGTGTGTGTTAGCACCACTGAGATGTGAACTGCCTGGAATGCATTTCACTGACTATTTAAAGTACTTTAGCAGAAGTTATATATTGTAAGTACTGGCCTGCCTAGGTTCTATTAAATGAAATGTTTATTTCATGCTTATTTTATTAGTTCATCTGCTTAGATAATTGGAGTATCTATTAATAGTAGGCTTACACAGAGAAAACCCACAAAGGAAAATCTAAATCTGCTTGTTAAAATGAAGGCTTGATGGCTAGTCAGGCTTGAGAATTTAGCATAATATCTTCAGGCTCCAAAACTGTAGGTTATTCTCATATCTTAGGTTAAACTGCTACCAGGTTATTAGTTACCTAGATAATTCAATGTTTACTGCTTCTTAAGTATTTTAAAGATAATAAAGCAGCTTTTAAAGTTATTTGCTTTAAAAGTTCTCTAAAACAGATTAAAACAAAACTCAAACTATAATTCCAATAAAACACCACAAAGTCATAGCACAAGAACCCTAACACAGCAACTGAATTAAATCAGAGATTATCATAATAGCAGCAACAATCAAATAGGATGCATATGATTATTTTTTCAATGAAAAGATTCAATGCGATTATTTCTTAATATCAGTTTGCAAGTTTTTTTTAAATTCTAAGTTATTCACTTATGTCGGTTTAAGAGGCTGTAAGAACATTTGTAGAATTTAAGTGCACTCTTGCACACTCCAGCTATAGGCATTACATATGCAGAAACAAACTTTTCCACATATCTCACCTATATGACAAACAATGGTGCAATATGGATCCTGTACATTCTGTTCTCCTCTTGGCTGAGCATCTGAATTTGATCATACAGAACCCAAGTGACGGATTGTAGAAAAACAAAGTTCCACCAGCATCTGTTTGAGAGAAGGATTTGAGACTGGATTCAGGCTACCCAGTTTCTTTTCCCCAGGAAAAAGATACTCCTTTGAAATGAGCTTGATCACAAGGGCCAACATGAATATGTCCATCTTGTTTTATTGGCAAAAGTTTGAGTGTGATTTGCCTTCTTCTGAGATTTTTTTTTCAAATTCTTGGCCTGGTCTACAGCCCTGGATTCTCCTGGTGGTCTCTCGTCCAAGTATTCATCAGGGGTGACTCTGCTTAGGTTTGGGAGCTCAGATAAGGTGGTGGGTGCTGTCGCCTGCTGTGGCCCCTTTTCCTGAATTATATCTCCAGAGGAAGACTCAGCAAGGCTGCAGTACATGCATATCATGGGCTGCTTTGAATTGGAGCTTCTGTACTGTTTGTTTTTCATTTTTTTTCCTCACTTGGGAAGAATTTTTTTTTCCTTCAGTGCTGAACTATACACTACTGTATCTGCCATCTACTGATGACTAAATAAATTACAGCCAAATAAAAAAAGTTGTTACAGAGGTAAATGTAGAGAGGTGAAATCAGTGCATATACAGTACTGTATATGTTGGGGGAAGCAAACAATTCAACATACACATAGTTATATTTACGTGTGTGTGTGTATCAGTACAGATATCAATATAGAGATGATTAAAATGTATAAAATAAAACATTCCCAATGAATCTGGGTCCTAGCCTTAACCACTTCTGGAATTCAGCTCTTGAAGTGCCAGGCAAGAGTTGGTGCTGCCTTGAGTTGGGAAAAGTTGTGAACCCCCAGTTCAGAGATGTTAAATATGTATTTATTGAAGTTACGTGTTAAATATTTGAGCTAAGATTGTAATGCAGTCTTTTCTTTTCTTTTAGGTTGTGCCCCGTGCTGATGGAAGAGTTCATACTCTTGTTCTCAGGGATGTGAAGCTAACAGATGCTGGAGAAGTCGCACTGACTGCAAAGGACTTCAAAACTAAAGCAAACCTTTTTGTAAAAGGTAAGCTTTGTAGAAGTGCAATTTATCCTTTAATAGGATGCTTGGTGATGCTGACCTGGATAAGGCAAAGTGTCTGGTTGAATAATTATTTCATAACCTAAAATGCAGACTGGAATGGTGGCCATATTTCAGTCTTTAAAAGAAGGCAAGAGTAATAGCTAACATGTTGTTCTCTCAAGTCAATTTTATTTTTTATATATATATTTTGTTTGTTTGTTTGTTTATGTGCCTTTGACTCCTGGCGACTGCCTGAACAAGTCCCTGCAGTTTTCTTGGCAAGATTTTGGGAGTGGCTTGCCATTGCCTCCTTCCCAGGGCTGAGAGAGAGTGACTGACCTAAGGTCACCCAGCTGGCTTCATGCCTAAGGCGGGACTAGAACTCAGGGTCTTCCGGTTTCTAGCCCAGTACCTTAACCACTACACCAAACTGGCTCTCTCTAAGTCAAATATACAAGACCTAAATATTGGGTTTATTTTGTTTCTCAGAACCACCTGTGGAGTTTACTAAACCCCTTGAGGACCAAACTGTGGAGGAGGAAGCCACTGCAGAATTGGAGTGTGAAATATCCAAAGAAAGTGCGCCTGTGAAATGGTTCAAGAATGGTCAGGAAATCCACAAAACAAAGAAATATGATATCATCGCTGATGGCAGAGTCAGAAAACTTGTCATTCGTGACTGCACGCTGGATGATGCTAAAACATACACCTGTGATGCTAAAGATTTCAAAACTTCTTGTTTCTTGAACGTTGAACGTAAGTCTGCTTGTAATCTCCTCAAAAAAACTAGATGCTTCGCTGTGTTGTTCATTCACTTCTGATTCTTCATGATCCAATGAACAGTAGTTCTCCAGGACTGTCAGCCATTTTTTCTTTGGGTTCTTGCAACCTGGTGCTAACCTTGTCTTGTCTTCTGCTGCCTCTTTTTCTGTAGCCTTCGATTTTCCCAAGCATCAAGGTCTTCTCCAAAAGTTCTTGCTTCCATATTATGTGCCCCAAATATGGAAGCTTTAGTTTCATTGTAGTGTTTCCAGTGAACGGTCTCATTTTGTTTATTTATTTGACTTATTCAATTTGTATGGCCGCCCATCTCACCTAAGTGACTCTGGGCGGCTCACAACAGTTTAAACAATTTAAAACAACCACCCAATAAAAACACATTAAAAACAGATGTACAAACATACAAAACCATCAATAACCACATTAAAACAAAAATAACCATGATCAGTGGCAAAATCCATCATTGTGTCAAACTCAGCACAGCCATTGTAAACGTTCCCCACCATTGCTGGACTCCCAAGCACAATAGCAGAGCCATGTCTTCAGGGCCTTCCTAAAGGCTAGTAGGCTCAGAACCATCTAGTACTGAATGTTTTGTTCTTCTTGCAGGCCAAGTATTCACTGCAATTTTCTCCAGCATTTTAATTCAAAGGCTTAATTGTACAATACCCCCAAAAGTGGAGATGTCATATTATTATTATTATTATTATTATTATTATTATTATTAATCATTATTATATTTTTATTAATAATAAATAATTATTTTAAAATAATAATAATTATGTTATTATTATTAATAATAATAATAAAAATGTGTTATGGCTGCCCACTCCAGTAGACTCTTCGTGTGACTGTGCAAACCTGATAATCTGATGAAATGCAATCATCTATCTAAGTGCATGGGGAATTTATCCTACATCTGAAATGTCCTCCTCTACTTTCATTTTATTTGGTTTTTCATCTATAAATGTCAAAACATAGCAACAGCCTTAGCTATAAACTTTCATTTTCATATAGATCTGTTCTTAATTGAAATACGCATTTTCTCTTCTAGCCCTTCGTGTTGAGTTTATTAAACCTCTTACTGATCTTGAAGTTAAGGAAAAGGAAGTGGCTCGGTTTGAATGTGAAATTTCCCGACCATCTGTTAAGGTCTGTGATATTTAGCAAATCTAATACCTGAACTTTTCAATAAATTTTATTTAGAATCACAAAACCTATGTTTCACTTATCAGAATTCTTCCTGTTTCCATCAAAGAGTTAGATTCTAGCCATTGTGCTTGTGTTAAATGCTTGCATAAACCAAAAGATGTTCGCTAGGCTTTGTCCATAGGCAGTCGTTGGCTACCACATTCCTATTATTGCTTCCTTCCTGTTTATTATTCTCGTCCCTAATAACAAAGATATTTTAGACCAATAATAGGTACCATTTAAAAATATGCAAATGAAATATGTATAAAAATATATTCTGTCTATATGCTGGATTCAGTTAGAGAATAAAAGATTTATGCAGTTGTCCTGGTGGAAATTTTACATCATGCAGAGAACATCAGATACATATAATGGGCTGTCATTTGATGGCAAAATTGCCCTCATCCTTCTTTGCATTTGTATATACTTTATAGGCTTCTCTGTGTCCAAGCTAGTGATCCCAATAATGGCAATCTACGCGCACACAATAGCTAAAGCCGTGCACATGCCATCCTGTCAAAATGGACACAAGATTCTCAATCAGCTGCTTTTGTGAGCATTTTCTTCTAGACACTTCTTGATTGACAATATTGCCAGGTTTTTTAGAAATAGAACTCCATGGATGCAGTCTTCCACTTGTTCATTCGGGAGTTGAAATTTTGGCCACACACCCTTTCATATTAGCAGTTCATATAAAGGCACACAATAGCCTCTTGACACAGAAAGGTTACCCTAGCTAGATCACCAGACCCAGAAAGTAAGATGGGGTAGTCTGGTTTAAACTATCGTTTAGATGTATCACTCCAATATATCAAATCAAAGTACGTCAATTCCAATATAATCATTAAATAGAGATTTCAATTCTTCAGTAATATTTTGAAAGCTGAAATTCTAATACCCATTTTTGTCTATTGTTTTGTCAATAATGTTAATACAGGCACGGTGGTTTAGGGATGGAACCGAAATCAAAAAAGGCAAGAAGTATGACATCATTGCAAAAGGTGCCGAGAGAATACTTGTCATCAACAAATGTTTACTTGACGATGAAGCAGAATATGCTTGTGAAGCAAAAGCAGCCAGAACCTCTGGCATGCTTACAGTGATAGGTAAAGTGGAATCCCTTTTGTGTTTATTTAATGTAAATTGCAGTTGTTGTGATATAAAACTATGATTCCTTTATACAGAGGAGGAAGCTGTCTTTACTAAAAACCTGCCCAATGTGGAAGTTAATGAAACAGATACCATCAAATTTATTTGTGAAGTCTCCAAACCTGGTGCAGAAGTAACATGGTTCAAAGGTGACCAGGAGCTGCCTGAGGGTGGTAGAGTTGAACAAAAAGCTGATGGCCGAAAGAGAATTTTGATCATTCACAATGCTCGCCTGGACGATGCAGGAGCCTACAGTTGCAAGCTTCCAAGTGCTCAGACAACAGGCAAACTCAAAGTTAATGGTGAGATACTTGCTTTGATATCTTTCAGAAACAGATGGTGGGTGGGCAGTTAAATAGGCAGTGAAATACTGGGCCCATTTCCTGCTTAAGCATAAAGAGTTTAAAGTCTATTCCAAAAAATCTCTGGTTGTGTTAGGCCACAGACCCCAGTATGACACCCAGGAGCACCAATGTACCTGCAGATAATTCTTACTGCTCAACAGGCTTCCTGCCCCACCTGACCTATATCTATCTATCTGTCTGTCTGTCTGTCTGTCTATCTATCTATCTATCTATCTATCTATCTATCTATCTATCTATCTATCTAATTTAAAAATGGAAAGTTGGCATTCTGCAAAAGAAATGGCAACTTTAGCATCATTTTTAATTCCAAAAAGTTCTCTGGGCACCATAAGCTTTCTTACAAAATAGTAATAATTTTTTTAAAAAAAGACTGGTGGCTGTGTCTATCCAGTATTTCTTTGAGGTGTGGGGGAATGTGACCTGCCAAGAAAAAAATAAGCTTAGATAATAGAATGAATCCTGCTGGTAAATTGGTGCTTTATATCAGATTAGAAAGCCGACAATCATTTTCCAAGAGTAGATACCATCAACATGATTTCACATTTCCAAATGTGGCCATCAGCCTCAAAAGGTTGGGAACTCCTAGTATGAGTCATCTTTTGCTGAGTGAAACAACTACCTTTCAGTTAAATTGAGCAGCCTATCTTCTTTCTACTAACAGTTAAATCATAATGCATAATATCTTTTACAGAGCTTGCAGCAGAGTTTATAACTAAACCTCAAAACCTTGAAGTTATTGAAGGAGAAAAGGCAGAATTTTCCTGCTCGGTGTCTAAAGATGGTGTTGATGTGCAATGGCTCAGAGGCGATACTGTTCTTGAAGCAGGTGACAGATACGATATATATTCTGATGGCAAAAAGAGAGTCTTGGTCATTAAAGAATCCATCTTGAATGATGAGGGCCGTTATACTGTCATGCTTGGAGATGTCAAAGCAAAAGCAAACTTGAAAGTGATTGGTAAGTTTTTGTCTCTATATTTGTATGCACACTGTTATTGTTTGGTCCAGTATGCAGCTTACAAATTATACACTTACTCAATTTACAGAAAAACTCAGGATTGTTGTTCCACTGAAAGACCAAAAAGTTAAAGAAGGAGAAGAGCTTGTCTTCAACTGTGAAGTTAATACAGAAGGTGCCAAAGCTAAATGGTACAAAAATAATGAACCAATATTTGATAGTGTAAAATACATCATGGTCCATAAGGATTTGGTGTATACTCTAAGAATCAGAGATGCTCATCTGAATGACCAGGCAGTTTACACAGTAACGCTAACAAATCAGCGAGGAGAACACGTCAAGACATCTGCTAATTTAACTGTACTTGGTAAGTGCTCTGTACCAGTAAATGACCCAGGATATCAGTCACACCCAAATTTAGACAAGGACATAAAATAATCACATTTTAATTAATCTCTCACCACAGAGGAAGATCTCAGAATTGTTGAACCTCTTCAAGACATTGAAACCATGGAAAAGAAATCTGTCACATTCTGGTGCAAAGTTAACCGTCTTAATGTGAAACTTCCATGGACAAGGAATGGTGAAGAAGTCACTTTTGACCGCCGCATTTTATACAAAGTGGATAGATACAAGCATTCCCTTATTATTAAAGACTGTGGGTTTATAGATGAAGGAGAATACACTGTCACTGCTGGCCAAGATAAATCTGTAGCGGAGCTTATTATCACAGAAGCACCTGCAGATTTCATTGAACATTTGCAGGACCAAACAGTTACTGAATTTGATGATGCTGTCTTTAGTTGCCAGCTTTCCAAAGAGAAAGCAGCTGTGAAGTGGTACAGAAATGGGCGTGAAATAAAAGAAGGCAAAAAGTAAGTGCTAATTCATTTAGGCGTTGTTGCTATCTCTATCCTTGTTTCTAAATCAAGCGCATAATTCTGTTTTTCCATCTGATCTAAAGGTATCAGTTTGAAAAGGATGGAAATTTACACAGATTAATTATAAAAGATTGCAGACTAGAAGATGAATGTGAATATTCCTGTGGAGTGGATGACAGGAAATCCAGAGCAAGACTCTTTGTTGAAGGTAAGTTTTCAATTTTGATTTATGTTCCTTTCCAGGTCTCAGTACTTTTTTTTAGTTAAAAAACAGAATGATATAATATATGTTTATGGATATTTCTATCAGAAATTCCTGTTGAGATTATCCGCCCACCACAAGATGCTTATGAAGCTCCTGGTACTGATGTCATCTTTTCTGCTGAACTGAATAAAGATAAAGTGGAGGTCAAATGGTTGAGAAACAACATGATTATAGTCCAAGGTGACAAACATCAAATGATGAGTGAAGGAAAGATCCACAGGTTGCAGGTCTGTGAAATAAGGCCCCGTGACCAAGGAGAATATCGATTTATTGCCAAAGATAAAGAAGCTCGAGCTAAGCTAGAACTAGCAGGTAAGTCTTTCAAATTGATTTATCATATGAAGAAAGAACATTTATAGACGTAATATAAATCTTTCAATTCTGCTTCTGAATGTTAATTCCAGAAATGTTTACTTTTAATATGAATAAAAAACTGTCTCCCACAAAAAAGTGTATACTGTAACATCTTTCTTGTGTCTACCACTATACAATTCCATTCGTTTTTATGTCTTGGTTGCATACCTCATTCTGATTGATTGATTGATGTCTAGCCCTTATTTGTTCTATATGGAGGTTTTATCAGTTAACTTGAACATTATTGTGTGGAAATCTTACATTTCTTTTTGAGATTCTATACACAATATGTAAATTTAGTTTTTATGCAGCGTAATCTCTACATTCAGGCAATCAGAAAGCTTTACCCATCATAAATAAATTCCCTATGAATGATGAAGGTGATAACAAGGCCCCATTGATCTGCAGTTCAAGACACACCCAATACCACAAAACTGACAGTTACAATTTGGCTCACCTAACACAATAAATTATTTTAAAAGATCAGAGTTCATTATGCTTTTCTTTATCATGTTCTGTTGAATGCATCATTTCTGTAACATATTTTTCAAATGTTAATTTCTTTTTATTATTTTTCTTAGCTGCTCCAAGAATAAAGACAGGTGATCAAGAACTTGTGGTAGATGTTGGGCAACCATTAACCATGGTTGTTCCATATGATGCTTACCCACGAGCAGAAGCCGAGTGGTTTAAAGAAGATGAAGCCTTACCCACTCAGACTGTTGATACTACAGCTGAGAGTACTACTTTCAGAATTCCTGCAGCCAAGCCATCACACCAGGGAAGTTACAAAATTATACTGAAAAATAAACATGGAAAAGCAGAAGGTCACATCAACGTTAAAGTAATCAGTAAGTTCTTTACTTTCAACAACTTTACTTTTAGTAAGTTTTTTTCTGATAATAGAAGTTTGTAACAATGGTACCTACATTTTTAATCCAGAAAGAAAAAGCATTCGTTTAATGGTTAAAACTGGAATTAAAAGAAATAGTCATGCAACCACTGAGCTATAAAGCTTATGTCAAACTCAAAACAGATTTGAAGTTCCTTTGAATACATCATGTTCCTTTTCCTCTCAGATGTCCCTGGCCCAGTGAGGAACTTGGAAGTCACAGAAACATTCGATGGTGAAGTCAGCCTTGCATGGGAAGAGCCAGAAAGTGATGGTGGTAGTAAGATCATAGGTTATGTAGTGGAAAGGCGTGACATCAAACGCAAGACCTGGATTTTGGCAACTGATCGTGCTGATAGTTGTGAATATACAGTAACTGGTCTTCAAAAAGGAGGAGTGGAGTATCTCTTCCGTGTGAGTGCAAGAAACAGAGTCGGCACCGGTGAACCTGTGGTAACAGACAAACCTGTTGAAGCAAAGAGCAGATTTGGTAAAAAAATAGTTCAAGATACTTGAAAAAATTAATGTTTTTTCCATACTTTTGAGTAGTAGTAACATATGTTCATAATTTTCTTCCCACTTTGCAGAGGTGCCAGGTCCTCCTCTCAATGTCCAGGTTGCTGATGTGAACAGGTCCAGTGTAACTCTTACCTGGGAGCCACCAGAATATGATGGAGGATCTCCAATTACGGGCTATGTGATTGAGCTGCGTGACAAAGGATCCATTAAGTGGGAGCCAGCTATGACTACAGCAGCCCATGAATTATCTGCAACATTGACTGATGTTGTGGAGAACAAAGAATACTTTTTCAGGGTCAGGGCACAAAACCAAGTTGGAGTTGGCAAACCCAGTGCATCTACACATGCAGTGAAGATTACAGATCCAATTGGTTAGTATGCAGACAATAGGAGAGCAGTTTTCCATGTCTCTCAGGGATAATTTAATTTATTCATAAATATGGGCATAGAAAAGACAGGAGGAGAATTAGGAAAGGTTGAAATATGAGAAAGTAGATTCAGCGTTTATGATTTAAGAAATCACTAGCTATGTGAAAAAGAGAGAATAGAAGTATCATGTTCAAACCAGAAGGCCAATTCTTTTAGATGTTTTCCATGTTCATGAAGGAAGGATCAATAGATTTGAAGCATATTTCATTAGAAGATTCTGGCCAGGTTCTACTGTGCTATTTCAGGAATAGTCAGAGATTTCCACAGACATAATTTCATCATTTTATTTTTGTATTTTGTCTGTCCTTCTTGAAGTGCACAATATTTAAACCTTCCAAATTACTATGTGTTGCAGAAAGACCAAGTCCTCCCATTAACCTTGATCATTCTGACCAAACTAAGTCATCTGTGAAACTGACATGGGAGCCTCCAATAAAAGATGGAGGCAGTCCAATTTTGGGTTACATTATAGAACGACGTGAAGAGGGAACAGATGACTGGATTCGCTGCAATCTAAAGCTTGTACCTAAGCTTTCTTATAAAGTAAGTTACTTCGTTCTGAAGTTCATTAAGTATTAGATTGTTTTCAGTGATGTTTCTTACAACAATTGCCTGTGTCTTGGCAGGTGACTGGATTGACACCTCTAGCTAAGTATTATTATAGAGTGTCTGCAGAAAATGCTGCTGGTATATCAGATCCAACTGAAGCTATTGGACCACTACTTGCAGATGATCCTCATGGTAAGTAGATTTGATTTATCTGACATGGTCAGCAGTTCAAAGTTGTATATGCTTATTACTAAAATCAATCCTCATGTATTGGTTTCACAACACTGGTTTGCAACTAAAGAATCCTTATTACAAACCAGTAGGTATGTGCAGATTATCTGTTGCAAGCAAATCTACTGCAGCCACTTAGGGTTTCAATTTGGCTATTTTAAGGCTCTTCTGGGTATGTAGGTGCATATCCAGAAGACACTTCCACCTTGATAGCTGGCAAACCAAGGCTTTGGGAGGCCTTGTTGCAGCTAAACCTTTGCAGCTACTTCACATCTTCACAATGTAGATCCAGAGGTAGACTTTGCCATAAGCAAAAGATCTTGTCAATGTTCTGTGCAGGTGTCATCACCGTGCAGATATGGAGGAAAATGATAAACATTTCCATGTAGTTCTGTTATATAATTAAGATTTGCCCAAAGGAGTATTCCTGATTATGAGAGCTACTATTTAATGCTGCCTGCTAAGCAAAGAAACGTTACCACTATACTTCTATAAAATTATTCTTAAAATGGAACAAGTCTTCCTATCAGCTTTCTACACTGCCGTTTTATCAGATTGGGGGAAAAAAGTCCTACATCAAATAGAGGAGTCACCTTATAGTAATTATGTCATCCCAATTATGGCAACTGCCCTTTCACAGCTGCAGTAAATAAAAATTAAAACTGTAATAGAAATATTCATTGGCACAAATTGTGTTTGTTTTTCAGTTGGACCTACAATGGACTTAAGTGGATTTAAAGATGGACTTGAAGTTATTGTTCCAGAGCCAGTGAAAATCCGTGTTCCCATCACTGGCTATCCAGTTCCCACAGCCACATGGTCAGTGGGTAGCAAAGTTTTAGAAGATGGCAATCGGGTGAAAATTGAGACTAGTGCAGCCTTTGCACAACTTACTATTACACCAAGTGAACGGCCAGATAAAGGCATTTATACTCTGAAATTAGTCAATCCGGTATCATCTGTATCAGGAGAAATTGATGTTAACGTCATTGGTGAGCATTCAGTTTTAATGTCAAGTAAATGTGTATGTGTTATAAATTATTGTAAATTAAATGACCAATTTTACAACATTAAATGACCAAATGAATAACAATCAGCACCTTTTATTATATAGAAAACTAAATTACATTAACTTCTGCTTTCTTTTTCATTATGAAATTCCATAATACAAAAGAATTTGCCTTTTTATAAATATTCAGGGTATAATTTTATATATACATATTCAGGATTAAGCACTACAGAAAATAATTGGACTTAATTCTGATTTTATATGTATAGGATCACATGATTAAAAAGAAAAATAAAACCATTCTGAATTAGGGCTAAAGTCAGTTTTCGTAAGCCCCGTAACCAAAATCTTTCATCTCAAACATCATCATCTAAATCCCTGCTATGATGCTGGAATGCCATTAAACATTGGCTCTTCCAGAGGACTTTTGGGGGTGAGATGAATTTTGGTTCCTGAGGAGATGTAGTTCCTGTGGAATATTGTACCTGGTTGCTTGGTTATATTGTGTTGTGTTGTATTGTGCTGTTGTGTTGTATTGTATTAGATTTTAATCTGATTACTGCATTTGGAGTGTAAGATGCTCAGTCACTTATGACTGGAGTGGTATATAAGCTTCAGTAAATAAATAAATAAATAAATAAAGGTATAGCTACATTGCAGGTTTATAATATGATATGCATTTACTTTCAGCTCGCCCAAGCGCACCGAGAGAACTAAAAGTTGGAGAAATAACTAGGAACACAGTACAACTAACATGGGAACCACCTGAAAATGATGGAGGAAGCCCTTTGACTGGCTATCTTGTTGAGAAACGTGAAGTGAGCCGCAAAACATGGATTAAAGTATGTTTTAATAGAAACGTATTTTTAATAGAATAAGTTTTTTAATGTTGGAAATATTCTGTGCTGCAATACGAAAAGGAGCCTCTTGTGTTTGCAGGTGATTGACAAGGTTCTTGACCAAGACTTTACTGTCCCAGATCTTGCCCAAGGGAAAGAATACTTATTCAGAGTTTCAGCATGCAACAAATGTGGACCAGGAGAACCTGCTTACATCGATGAGCCAGTTAATATGACAGCGCCTGCTAGTGAGTTTTCTTTATTAGTTATTCCAATTAATGTTGGATTTCTGCATGTTATATAATTACTCATGCTAAGTGTTGTGAGTTGACAAACCCATTAAAAAAGAAAACCAAATGCAGGCTTTTTTTGATTGCACCACAGGCTTTCTAACTTCCTCCTGTCTAACGCAGCCATCTGCATATTTGGAAAAGCTCTTTGTTAAAGTGTAGGACTTAGCAGAATAATAACAGTTTTGTCCAAGACTACTATGGGAAAGGTGGCAGGGGAGGTCACCAGAAATCCAGATACCACCTAGTGGAAGTGAAAATCTTTTTCCATTCATCTTCTACCCATAATCATAAGGCAACACATTTTCCCTCTTACAGCGGTTCCTGATCCACCAGAAAATGTTAAATGGAGAGATCCAACATCCAAGTCCATTTTCCTTACATGGGATCCACCTAAATTTGATGGTGGCTCACGTATCAAAGGCTACATAGTTGAAAAGTGCCAGCGTGGCACTGACAAATGGGAGCCCTGTGGTGAACCCGTAGTTGAGACCAAGTAAGTAGCAGCAGGATGTAGAATTCTTTTAGAAATGAATCTTATGACATTTAACGATACTATTAACTGAAATGATATTCTGATTAACAGAATGAAAGTGGAACCACTTAAGGAAGGGGAATGGTATGCTTATCGTGTGAAGGCTCTGAATAAGCAAGGAGCCAGTAAACCAAGCAAACCAACAGATGAAGTCCAGGCAGTGGACGCAAAGGGTAATTAGCCATTGAGTTATATTATAGCAACATATAATTTTTATTCTTGAAAGTATTGGGGGGGGGTATACAACTATACACATGTATGAAATGGGCTGTTCTATGTATATCATATTTTATTCATGCTATTTTTATTCTCTGTAAATCAGAGGCTCCAGAGATTTTCTTAGATGTGAAATTACTTGCTGGAATCACTGTCAAAGCTGGAACTAAGATAGAGCTGCCTGCAAGAGTAACTGGAAAGCCTGAACCTCGGGTTACCTGGACAAAAGCGGAACATATCTTGAGACCTGACAAAAGGATCTCCATTGAAACCAAACCTAACCATTCCACAGTGATAATAACAGACAGCAAGAGGAGTGATACTGGCACCTATATTATTGAAGCTGTAAATACCAGTGGACGGGCAACAGCAACTGTTGAAGTTAATGTTCTAGGTATGCTATTTCTGTGATTAATTCTCAGTATCTTCCTAATTACATAGCTGAAGAGGAAGCTCAAACTGTTGTTATATTTCCACAGATAAGCCTGGTCCACCAGCTGCTTTTGATGTGTCTGATATAACAAACGTGTCTTGCCTTTTGACATGGAATCCTCCTCGAGATGATGGTGGATCCAAAATCACAAACTATATTCTAGAGCAAAGAGCTGCAGACAGTGAAATATGGCACAAATTATCATCCACCATCAAGGAAACAAAATTCAAAGTTACAAACCTCACACCTCTTAAAGAATACATCTTCAGAGTCAGTGCAGAGAACATGTATGGAGTTGGAGAACCAGCACTATCCAGTCCTATAATTGCTAAATATCCATTTGGTAAGTCTATTCATCTGAAAGGCAGGTCCACATATCCCAGTATGACTGTTATATGGGAACTGCTGCAAACTATTTCAGTGGGGGACAGCCACTTCAACCAGTGAATCATTTTGTGAGAACCATCACACCTCCCGATCATTTCTGATTTTGCTGGTAGTAGGGGGATAATTTTTGCAGAAGGTGCCAGTGCACAAGGGAAGCTGATACCCACGGGCAGCTTGCCAAGCAGAGCACAACCAGTATCAAGCATGGCTGTGCTTCACTCAGTGGCATTTGGCTAGAGATGGGTTCTCTCACATTTGCATAGAAGTTACAAATACCTGATGGTTAATTTTGATTTTTGATTTCTTGGTTCAGATACACCAGGTCCTCCAACAGGAGTTAAGCCTATTGAGATCACTAAAGATTCTGTAACATTAACTTGGACTGAACCAGATGAAGATGGAGGCAGCCCTATCACTGGGTACTGGGTTGAACGGTTTGACCCTGAACAAGATAAATGGATACGATGCAATAAAATACCAGTTAAAGATACAACATTCAAGTAAGATCATTATATTCTTTCAGAATATATTTTATAGTGTATTCTTTCAGAAGAAAAGTAAATTGTGTTTTCAAATAAAAACAAATGCATACACTTGATATAGTATTATGCGTGAAAGGTTACGTTAGCTCCAAAGAATTGTCTTGCTGCCCATTATCTGAATCCTCATAAGCTGGTGCCAATATATATCACAAATCCTCTCCATAGTCATCTTCACTACAATGGAGGAACCACAGCGGGTGTGATAAAATAATAACAACTGGTGGTTGTCTATCACCGAAGCAGTTCAGGGGGATTTGTGTTGATAGTGCAACCTCTCAGACATTTTAACTTTCTAGTAACTTGAATTGTTTAAATCATTCAGATCTATGTGCTGTGTCTGCTCCTTTCTAAAATAGCACGTGTTGATCCTGTATATTAGCTCACAGATGAGCTGGTATATATATATAGCAACTTTTTTGAAAAAAATTGTTGCTGCCCTGCTTAAAATACAGAGCACCAGCCAACCCACAGACCTCCACTTGCTCGTCATTTTTCCTTTTATACCCACTAATATCTGCCCTTGAGGTTTCACCAATCTTCCAGGTGAAGTGGAGAGAATGCTATTCTGTCATTAGACAGGAACAATTGTACTTCACAGATGCACACAGACACACACGCACACATGATTAAGAGCACCTATCAGTTTATAAATATGCAGCAAGATAATATCACATAATGTCCTTTGCAATGAGTAACTGCTTCCTTAGAATATTAAGCAATATGCAAAAATATTTATATGCATTAACTGATTACAGATTTTGTACTGTGCTTTGGTGATGGCAAAACGTATTGGCATGCGAAAGCTTTACATAAGAATCATGCCACAAGAAATCTCTTTATAATATGTATATGGCAGATATAAATTCATTAATGTTTTTTTATTTATATCTGTGGAAGGATGTAGGCCAACATAGTATATAGGTTTAATAATGTTTACTATTAAATGTACGTCTAATTTTTTTTTCATTATTATCAGGGTAAAGGGTCTTACAAACCATAAGAAGTACAAGTTCCGGGTCTTGGCAGAGAATCTTGCTGGGCCAGGAAAACCGAGCAAACCCACAGATGCAATCTTAGTGAAGGATCCCATTGGTAAAAATTATCTTGGATTAACAGTATAATTTAAACCGTTTTTTTAAAATTAGCCTGCCAGATCTAAATGTTCAATTTATCTCCAGATCCTCCATGGCCTCCTGGGAAACCAACGGTGAAGGATGTTGCCAAGACATCATGTTTCCTACAGTGGACAAAACCAGAACATGATGGGGGTGCCAAAATTGAATCCTACGTCATTGAGCTGCTAAAGACTGGCACAGATGAATGGGTGAGAGTGGCGGAAGGTGTTCCCATGACAGAACATTTCCTCAAAGGACTTATGGAAAAACAGGAATACTCTTTCCGAGTAAGAGCTGTGAACAAAGCTGGAGAGAGCGAACCTAGTGAACCCAGCGACCCCGTGTTGTGCAAGGAGAGGCTAAGTAAGTAACTCTTCCTGAGAATTAGGGTTGAGGCTGAGCAAAGCTTGAAAGCTTTAAAATGTGTTTGCCTTCAACCTGGAAAGAGGGTAAAATATAAATGCATTTATAATTACTGTCAAAAAGATCAGAAGCCATTTCTCTATAACCTTTTTTCTTTTTTAATCTTTCTTTCTTTCTTTCTTTCTTTCTTTCTTTCTTTCTTTCTTTCTTTCTTTCTTTCTTTCTTTCTTTCATTCCTGTTTCTG